TAAGGTGTCTAATATAATCTGTTCTATCTACTATAAGCTGTACTGCCTCCAACCATACCTTCCCATTAGTTTGTCTCTCTGGTCTTAAATCCATTTTCACTTCTTCTCTACCTGGTTCTAATACTTGTCATACCTGTATATGTGGAGTGTTCACCGTACTTAGTAGTGAGATTGCCTGCATACCTGGCGGAAATTGAGGATTACCTAAGATGGGAGTCAAGGGTCCCGGGCTAGATGAGTGATTATATTTAGTTGCATACCTATCCCATATTTGTAGCACCGGTTGTACTAAAAAAGGCAAGGTTGACATATGTGGTCTACTTTCCACTGACATCCAGGGGAGATTCCTCAGGGGTACTGGGGAAATAACCGCTTCCAATTTTACTACTCCTTTGTCTTTATTCCTATGTATCCAATCCAATAATCTAGATATTAGGATCGCTTTTTGATAGAGTGCAAAATCTGGGATTCCCAAACCCCCTCTTTGTTTTGATCTCAGGACTTTTGTGCTTATTCTAGGGGTTTTATTTGCCCATACAAATTTAATTGCTGCTGATTTTATTTTCTGAAAGAAAGATTCAGGTAAAGAAATGGGAATTGTCTGGAGTCTATATAGTATTTTAGGGAGAATATACATTTTTAGTACATTTATTCTACCCATCCATGTCAGTCGAAGGCTATTCCATGTATAGAATTGGGCAAAAATATTATCAATCCAATCTCTAAAATTAATAGCATATAATGTGTTAAGTACTTTAGGAAAATTAACCCCCAGATATATGATGTAATCGGCCTGCCATCTAAATGGGTAGTTATCCTTTATATTAGTTTTTACTTTGTCAGTTAGAGATATATTTAAAAATTCAGATTTAGATAGGTTTATTTGGAAATTACTCAGATCGCCATAGTTCTTCAGTTCTTTGAGAATATTTGGTATCGATGTTATTGGGGAAGTTATTAGGAGAAGTAGATCATCCGCATATAATGCGATTTTATGTTGTTGCGTTGAGGTGAGCAAACCTTTAATCGAGGGATTCTTCCTAATAGTTGCCGCTAGTTGTTCCATTGCTATAACATATAACAAGGGTGAGAGGGGGCATCCCTGCCTGGTTCCGTTTAATATTGGGAAGGGGGCGGAAAAATTCCAATTACCTCTAACCCTTGCGTTTGGATGTGTGTACAATGCCATCACTTTAGATAAAAAGAATTCTCCCACTCCCATTTGTATTAAGGATTCTCTGAGAAATGTCCAATTTATTCTATCAAATGCTTTTTCAGCATCAATTGACAGAAGACAAAGTGGTATATTTCTCTTATGTGCTAGTTCTATTAGATTAATTACCCTGGTGGTGCTATCTCTAGCTTCCTGTCTCTGCACAAATCCAGTTTGATCTAAGTGGATAATTTGGGGCAATACCTTTTTTTGCCTGCTGCCCAACACTTTTGCATACGTTTTTAGGTCTATGTTTATAAGAGAAATTGGACGATAATGGCCACATTCTGATAAGTCTTTCCCAGGTTTTGGAAGAACAGATATATGGGCCTCCATTGTTTGTGTTGGGAATGGGCTACTTTCTGTAACTGAATTGCATGCTTTTATAAAGAAAGGGCCCAATAATCCCTCAAACTGTTTGTAAAAGCGAGCTGTGAACCCATCTGGGCCAGGTGCCTTATCAATTTGTAGTGAGGAAATTGCCTCCTTTATTTCCTTTTCTAAAAATGGCGAACTCAGCCCTTCCCCATCCTCCGTATTCAATGCTGGCACATTTGCCCCTTTTATATATTCACAAAATTGTCCCTTGACATATCAGCATATTTACCTCTCAGTGAGTATAGGGATGCATAATATTTCGGAAAACTTCTATTATCGAGGATGGGGAATGCTGCATGGTCCCACCTCCATCTTTAATTCGTGCTATATTAGTGTTGGATGCCCTTGCATGAATTTTCTTGGCCAGCAACTTGCCACATTTTTCTCCCTCATAATAATATCTTTTTTTACCCTTATCTCTAGCGATCAACGATTGTTGGTCCAGAATATTTCGAATGTCCCTTCTTACCTCCATCAGTTGGGTGGAGGTTGCTACCATCACATTCTCTTTATTCAGTACCTCCAATGCATTTAATTTTTTAAACAATCCCTTTAATTTACTTGCCCTCTCTTTCTTCAGTCTGGAACCATTTTTATTCAATATTCCTCTTATTACACATTTCAATGCTTCCCATTGAATAGGATTTGATGTAGTATCTTTTAAATGGTCCTCTATAAAAATTTTAATAGTGGTACTTATTTCTTCTTGACATACTGTAATTTTTAGCAGGTTATCATTTAATCTCCAGTTTCCCATATTTCTGCTTGTATTTTCAATTTTCCTTGACAAGCATATCGGGTAATGATCTGACCATAATATTGATCCTATCTCAATCGCTGGTGCATAGTCTAACAGCTTCTGATGTATCCAGACATGATCTATCCGGCTATAGGATTTATGTACCATAGAATAGTATGTGAAATCTTTTTTTGTAGGGTGCAGGATTCTCCATCCGTCCACCAGTCTCAAGCTGTCCATTTTATTTTTAAGTTTTATTAAAGCCCCTTCCATTATGTGTGGTTTCCCAGTGGTATCCAATTGATTAGCAAATATTAAGTTCATATCTCCCATTACCATACTTGTGCCCATTCCAAATTGTTGAAATCTATTAAGTGCCCATATACAAAACCTATGTTCGCTAGTGAGTACATTTGATTAAAATATAAAAATGTCAAAAATACATATCTCCCTTTTTCATCTATAACTGTGTCTTTAACCTCTATATGTGAGTTTTTGTGAATCCCTACTGATTTTTTTTATCCGGATTTGGGCTGTGAATCCACGTCGTGTAATTTTTATCTTTAATAACTGGGTTAACCCCTGTCTTAAAGTGTGTTTCTTGCAAACATATAATATCCATTCTTTTTTTGTAAAAATGGTACAAAACCTGGGACCGTTTTTCTGGTACATTGAATCCCCTTACATTAAATGTTACCAATGTTAGCCTATCCATCTATATTTTACTTGGCGCTCTGGATACATTTTACATAAGACCTTTTTGTTACATTCATACTTCCATGCCTTACTTTCACCACGGCATTCCTTAACATGTATACCTTTGTTATATTCTTGCGTGTAGGACATTTTCCTTAACCCCCTACACATATTATGCAAGAAAGCCCTACTCACATGGGCTATTTTGGAGTTGTAAGGGCCGAATGGCTGACCGCCAGACACTCGTTCCCCCACAAGCCCAAACCTTTAAATATTTAGGCCCTTTACTCCCCATTTCCCTGTACTTTTTTTCTTCATTATAAATTAATACGCCCCTCCCCTCACCTCCCCCTCCCTCCCCTCCCCCAACCTCCCACTCATAATGCCTCATATATTTAAATCAATTGGCCAGTCTGTTAACTTTATTGATGGTAGTTCCAGGGTATGCAGAAATCCTGGTAAGTCATCTATTACTCTGAATATTGCCGTTCTTCCATTTCTGTTTGCTATCAGCTGGAAAGGAAACCCCCCTCTGTATCTTATTTCTCTTTCCTGTAAAACACGTAAGACAGGTTTCAATGCCCTTCTGAGCGTCAATGTTTGCTTTGAAAGATCGGGGAAGATGGTTATCTCATGTCCTTCATATGTCATTACTTGCTTAGCTCTGGCAGCTGATAGAATGGCTTCTTTTTCAGTGTAATAGTGTAGCCGGCATATCACATCTCTAGGCCTTGGGAAATCTCCTCTGGGGTAACTTGGTACTCTATATACCCCCTCTACCTTCAACTCTCCTTCTGGGCTTCTATCCATAGTATTTGCATGGAGATCGGTCGGCTTCGGCTAACCTTCCTAGACGCTTCGGGTGTCACTACGGCTCAGCTGAGCCGAAGCATATGCGTTCGGCTCAGGTGCTGTACAGGCTATTGTGAATAGCCCGTACAGCAGCCCTGCGGCCGAAGCGAGCCGAAGGATCAGCCGAAGCTACAGCTGGATCCTTCGGCTCTTTAGTGAATAACCCGGAATATATCTCTATTGTTTGGGCTGGAGTGTTTTCATGTGCATTGCCACAGCATGCCAAGTCGTTTGTCACTTTGTGAGACATGGTGCGGTGCCATTAATTTTTAATGGCACCCCAGTGCACCTTGCCGCACTATGCACTTTCCTGTGCATAGTACCGTGGTGAAAAAAAGGTGCATGAACCTCTTTGGTGCACTTGTCTGGCTGTACTAAAGGCTGTCCTGGCTGATTAGATAATGTCCTGGATGCCAGGCTGTCCTGTAGACAACACAAACACGCACATATGTCACACCTGCACAAGTGTGAACAGGTGTTAAGTATTTTGCATTTAAAAGGCCAGCAGAGTGCTTAGACATGAGTAGAGATGACCCTGGTCTTGGTGTCAACCCTTTTTGCCTGAGTTTTCCTAAGCCTGCTAAAACTATGTCCGACACCCTTCTACTGGTCCAATCAGTGGCAGCAGTTGCGTCGGGGGCATTTCCCACCCCTTTGTGACATAAAGCTACGGGGTGGGAAATGCATCTCTCCACAACTGATTGGTCTGGTGGGGATGTCAGTCACAGTTTTGAGCAGAATTCTGCTCAAATCAGACATTTAATAGTGGTCACATAGGGGTTTCCGGTACATTTTCAAAATGTCCTGCATGTAGCATTCTCCAACAGATTTCAAGCAGTTTCTTCTGTCATTGTAGAATATATCTAGAAACTCTAACAACAAAACACTCACCAAATGCTTGTCGAACACTTGTGAATGCTTGTTACACATTTCAATGGGCAAAACACCAGAATAGGCTTCAAAATGCTTACAAATCACAATTTTGTTTTGCTGCACGTCCACGCAGAAACCTACGCCTGGGAGTAATGGCTGTTGCATGCAGCCGCCTGTACCGTTCAATGACAGAATGTGACTGCAATCTAGTAAACACTGATTCGAACTTGTACATCTGTAAAGGTGTGGATGCATCCACCTGGACACAAATGGTCCACGTTTACCACTGTGCAGCCACATCCTATCATTGAGTTGTACAAGTGGCTGTGGTCAAAATCTGTCCCTCTAGGGGCCAGGTTTCTGCACAGACGTTCTCGCTGTAGGGCTCTGCACGTCCCTGTGTATGAGACCTTAAAGAAAAAGCTCTGTTACAGGATGAGTAACTATACCAACCTGTTGGGGGTGCAATCTGTCATGAAAGTCCATAATCACAAGAGAGTTGGTCAACTTTGGAAAGGGCTGGTTTATTAAAGCCCACCAGGACTGGGTTTGTGGCCTCTGGGCCACGAACCCAGAGGCTATAGCTGGCCATACACACTGGTAGATTTTTGTACTAATGTTCATACAAATAAAGTTGTTCTGTATATTTGATAATTGCCATCAGAGATTTCACGGATGTTGTTCTAAATTTCATTTGATTTTAACAATCAATTTCAGAAATGAATGACACTCATTGTTGGAATTAAACATTTCCATCCTGCTCCTTTTTATTTATTTATTTTTTGTCACTACAGTCCAATTTTATTGTCTATTTGAGTCCACTATCAGAAAATCAAACAAACGTTTTGAAAATTATTTTTTTTAACAAAATTCTACTGCTGTATGGCCTGCTGTTGGGCCATGTCAGGCTGCTGACCTTTGCGAGTAGCAGAGTCTCTAAAATGTACAGAATAAAATACCTGCTTTCATGGTGTTGCTTCCCTTTCAACTGCATATGCAAGGTGTTGTTTTTTCGCTCATGGAAACGCTACAGATTGACGCTTGCCAGCGATGGAGCAACCCCTAGCTCATCCAGCCAGCGATGGAGACGCACATTAGCAGCAGGTGAGTGTTTACACCCTATTGCAGTCCTGCTGGCAAGTTGTCCCCAGTGACAGGATCACAAGTGTGACATCAGCCTTGCAAGCAATAGATTATGGATTGTGATGATATAAAAGAGCTCAGATCCGACTCCCCTAAATAGCAAGTGTACAGATTCCACAATCTAAGAAAGAAGTGTGTATTTTTAGTTTATAACATCAAAACCCCAGGAAATATCCTTCCTCCAATGTATAAAAAGAAATACACACATGTAGCGCTCACTCCCGAAGGGGCCACCAGAATAACCCAGGTCATCACTAGTTGTCTAGGGGTTTTGGTCTTCAGCTGCCCCATTAGCATTGAACCGCCCACTTCTAGTGCCCACAAAGCTGATAACCACTCCAGAAGTATAATGCTGAAGAACTTTTATTAATATCTTCACACTGGGAAAAGATGGTATAGGGATCCTAGACATCTAGGATATAACAGACATAGACTCCGGGCTCACCAGCACTTTTTTAGCATCTCAATGTAGATCCATTCGTAGCACAGCGTATAGGAATTTGAATGATTAAATACAAGTTAAAACCAATGCCATTATGTACAGTACTAACATAAAATTCATATATTAAAGTATTTAATCCTATAGTTGCATATTGCCTTTCATGACTACAGCCTTTACAGTATTACCATGTCATCATTATCTGTGTTCATATATTCACAAATCATATAGTCAAAGTCTATTATCAATTATTTCTAAGGCATGTAGTTTGTCTTTTATCAATGCGTTTCGCAGTAGACTTCATCAGGGGAATCTATGCAAACTTGAATAGAGACGCACAACACCTAAAAATGCATATAACATCATATAGTCCAAAAACACTTACTCTAAACATTTTTGTCTAACTTAATTAAATTTTTTCAAATTTTTCTCCCATGGATACCTCATGTCACTACCATAGCATAAGGAGTCAGCCAGCAAGGAGGGGAATTTCCCCTTCCTCCTCACCACTATGTCTTTCGTGGGACCACAGGAGAGTGATAAGCCCAGGAAGAAGAGGAGGGAGTACATACACATACGGTATATATTCCACCACTCTGTTAAATTAAACATGAGAATGATGAGCCCGGGAGAAAGAGGAGGGAGCACATACACATATATACGCCACCACTCACAACTGTCAAATTAAATATGAAACATACCCTTAAAAATGGATGGTTGATGGGTTATTGTTAAGGGTATGTTTTTTATGTTTAATTTAACAGAGCGGTATTTGATCACACCTCGTACATATTGACAGTTGTTAACCCTTGCAGTACACTGCAAGGGTTAACTGCTCATTTTGGTGAATTTAATTCCCTAACTTTTTTGGATGGCTTATATTGTGTGTGTGTGTATATATATTTTATGGCAGATGCCATGCGCACAGCACTAGCACTCTCAAGATCGTGCTGACTGGCATAGGAATTTCCTATACTCATTAGGGTCATTTAGAGAAGCTAGGCTGTACTCCGAGCACTAATATGTCATGGCTTACAAAGGTAAAATGGAAGTTCAGGTTCTAGTCAGATTAAATGTCTTTATACCTAAAACATTATTCTTTTAGTTTTGGATAGAAAGGGGAAAGGTTAGAAGTTAGAACCCCTGCAAGGTGTTACTGTTTTCTAACGCATTTAGGGAGATTTTGTCTTAATTTCAAAGGTCAGGGACAGACAGAGGACCAGGACAGTCTGAAGACTGGGATTTCCAGGGAATATCCAAAGGATAGGGACAGACAGAAGACTCGGATTTTCAGGGACAAGTCAACAGTCAGGACACAGATAAACTTCAAGGCAATCAGGTTGAATCACAAACAGGAGCTCGGCAACTAGCTTAGGAATGCGTTGCTCAGGCAGCGTGCCGTTCGCTGCCCTGGGTTTTAATAGGGATAGGAAGAGGGAGGATCCACAGGATTGGCCACAAGCGGATTGCACTGATTGGCCGAGAAGCTGCATAAGAAACACCAGGAGAGGTCGGCCGACGCCTAAAGCTGTCAGACTGGTGCAAGAGTGAGTCAGGTTCAGAGCACATGCCTGGAAGACTACAGGCAACAGCATGCTCCTCACTAGGGCCCTGAGAGGCCCCAGCGAGTGACCCTCTAATATGCCTGAATAAAGGACCGACACTGCCTGATTGTGGTCAGTCACTGCCTGCGGCCCCCTATTCAGGCATATTAGAGGGCTGCTCACTAGAACCTCTCAGGGGCCCTAGTAAGGAGCTAGCAGCCCTCTAATATGCCTGAACAGGAGGCCGCAACTGCCTGATTGCGGCCAGTCACTGACCCAGATACCAAAGCTACTCGGGTTGGCAGGGGCGGGCCTGGAGCGGCAGCGCCAAACGTCTCTACATGAATCTGACCCTGGTAGTCGCACACCTTTAGCACCTCATGTGTTATATACTGTATGTGAGCTATTGGAAATTGAGCACAGACATCTCCATTTCTATTGTATAAAAAGAAAACGTACGCAGCACAAAAAATTTTTTTTTACATTTGCATATAACTTTGCCATGGTTTGTAGCACAAATATATGTTAAGGTCTTTGTAAACAGGGCAATCAAATATATTCTTTTGTATACTTTTTATTTACACTGAAACTTCTTTTTTTTTAAACTAATACTGGTCAAAATAGAAAAATAAATAATTTTTTCCTTTTTTTTCTGTTTTTGTCTAGAGGTAAATCCTTTTTTTTTACAAGACAATTATGCCAACAGAAAGCCCCCAAAATACAACATTTGTATTACATTGGCATTGTAAGCAATGAATAGTAAACATTTAAAACTGCCTAAAGTCCCTAAAGAAATATACAGGTACAAGAGTTGAATTGGTAATGAACATAGCAGAAGTGATGCTTGTCATATTATATGTTTTTACTTTTTTACACTTGCCTCACCTGCTAATAATGCACAAAAACACCATTATGTTGATGTTTAATGCAAACTGCCAACGGGGACCATAATATGCACTAAAGGCTTGTTCACACGATGTCCGGATTCTGTCCAGATCAGAACAGTTAGCTCCTGCACTAAAAACGCATAACAATGTATCCCCATGTGTTTTCTGGGCTCCAGTTCACACCAGCGCATTGCTTTCCGTTCCGGACAGAAAAAATACTGCATGTCACATTTTTTCTGGTCCGGAACGCACAGAAACGCATACGAACACGTAAAAAACGCAACGACAACGGCCGGAAATGCACCGCACTGCAGCTAACTGGGAAAAAAAAGTGTATTCTTGCTCAAATGCAAATTACCTTTCCATAGACATACGAGTAAAGGAAAAAAATGTATCCGGGTGAGCTCGCAAATCCCAATATAAACTCCAAAATTGACCATTGGAGTCCCTGAGCCTCAAGATCTGGTGTACCCAATAACGACGTCTTCTGCAAGCTCGTTGTCTGCAGATTGCTGTAGCCAGCACCAACACCATGCCTACAAACATGGGATACATGTCTGATCACAAGCTTTGCATACACAAAGGGAAGTACTCGTAAGTAAGGATTTTCGCGGTCCGCAGCTGCATAGATCGGGAAATGTCTCAGTGCCCGTGATTGGCGCTGCGCGCTGGCAGCTTCCAGGCGGGCTCGGCACGTGGAGCTGCGAACACTCCCGAGCCCATCCTTACTTGTAAGGAGAGGCCGGAAGTGACCTCAGAGCAAGAATCTGCATACTGACAGCCCCCACCCCCCCAAAAAAAATGGAACACGGTAAAAACGCGTCAAAAACGCATCGCACAGCATTTGCAGATCTGCACCAGAAAATGGTGTGAACAAGCCCTTAAACTCAGTTGAAGCACAGCTCCAGCCATCAATTAAAAGAAAAATAAATAGCCCATTCAAAGATTAAAAAACAAAACCAGCTTTTGCTGCAATATTTACCTACAATCTAGAGATGTCCTTAGTTTTATCACCAGTATCAATAAAGCCTCTGAGTCCCGACCACCCTGCACCTGCCCAAGCCTGTGACTAGAAAATAAAAGGAGAAGCAGCACAGTGATGAGCTCATCTCTCTGCTCTCTCCTTTTATCAACATGTGCTTGTCAGCACATGAGCTGATTGCCTCCTTGTGCTACTTCTTCCTCCAATACTCTAGTGTCCTGTCTACAGGGACTGCAAGAGACTAATACCAAGTAAAATTCAAGTATTTACAATGCTTCCATAAATTATATTTAATCATGTATTAATGATGACAGAGTTGCATTACATTGTGACATTTATACCTGCCTAGAATTCAGCTTTAAATGATTGCGTTTGCTGAGTGCACAGATATCAATACAACACAAGTGTGCCATTTTTTGCTGCTCCTCTGCATTTCTTTTTAGCAAAACCAACAACATGGCAAACACAACAAGCACAGGTGACCAACGTTCCAAAATACAAAAGCACTGCATTTCTGACCTTTCATAGCTACTTCCTATATGCATGCCAGAACCTAATACCAAATGTCCATGTCAACTAATGCTGCATGTGATTACTATAGAAAGTATATGAAGGAAAGTGCCAAATTCATTGTGTTGGGTCCAAAAAAAGGTTTTATTTGGAGCTATATAAACAGGAATTCTACCATTTTCAGGAGTTCAACATGGCTTGGTTCTGGACAGTATAAAACAATAATATCCTGAAAGACAAAGTGAAGCTCCAATAACTAGTTGGACAGCAACACTGCAAGCAAAGTACAATGAAAGCTGAAAACTACAAGTGACCTCATATTTCCCTAAGTTCATTTAAAGGCAAATGCATAATAATAAAACATGTATTATTGATAGATTTATTAATAGATTAATGCTCCAGGTCTGTGTTCTCAGCAACAGCATTCGAGTGCATAGTCATCTGAGATGACCGGATTTCCAATGCAGAGCTTTGCAACTCCTCCATGAAACTGAGAGTAGTGCGTATCGTGTGTCATTTACCTGTGCAGTTGATATGCTCTGGAAGGTATGGCACGGCACAACGCACAACGGTTCTTTGCCTTTTGTACATTGCCTGTTACGTCGTACAACATGAGAGAGGCTGTTTTAACTGTAAGTTTTAATGCAAAAGTAATTAAATGCATCTAATCTAGAACTTTCATCTTTCATTTTTATTTTATAGTATGGAACAAACCGCAAATACTCTCCTACATATTGCAGCCTCTGATGTAGAAACTTTAAAAGAAGGGATCAATTTCTTGAGAAATAAGGAAACTGGTAAAAATTTCATTTTGTTTAAAAATGAGGATGAGTTACGAGCATGTAAGAATCTATGTAAACACCAAGGAGGAACCTTCATAAAAGACATTGAGGATCTAGATAGCAGGTAATTACTTTACATAATACACAGCTAGTTTTCATGTGGTGAATGCTTTTCTTTTTTTACCCAGAAATTGCATGTAATACTTGCACTTTTGCTGTATTTGTTTCATTTATTGGGTTTTGGGTATATAGAGTGTGTGTGTATATGTATGTATGTATGTGTCTATATGTGTGTTTGTATATATATATATATATA